TAATGATATATGGAACGGCGAATAATGTAAGACACGCTGGCACGGAATGTGAAAGCACGGCTTAAATTGTATGAATAACAATCAGCAAAGAAGACACCGTATTAAACGGGATGAGACTAACTGCTACGGAGTCTTCAGACAAAAAGGCATACATTTTTATAACAGTTTGAAACTGTGTCCACACCACAGTAAAGAACGATGCTCGTTTCCTTTACAAATGAAAGCGAAATTCGCTATCATAGTATGTATACAATTAAATCCAACGCTTAATTATTAGTTTTTAATCGGTGTATAAAAAATATTAACACTACTATAAATCACAACTAAAAGTTATAGTTGTTGCAAACTCAAATTAACTATATAAAATGTATATTGCAAATATTTTTGGTCCTGGAAAGGAGGGAAGTAATTGAGACATGTCTTTAAAAATTAAACTAGTATATGATGAATATAAAACAATGAAAAAAATGGCTACTAGAGGCCCGTATGGCATGGTTGGTTTTATGATCGCCATTTTTTTTTTTTTTTTTTTTGTATACAAAGTTTACGATGGTTTTGTAAAAATATGTTTTCTGGTGTCAACCGTGACGAAACTATTTCTCTGATACCGTTGTATCACAGTTTCTATTTTGAATTATGATTTGTTAAATTAGCAACAGATAGGGTCCTTTGAGACGATATTTTCTAGGTCTTATTATATGCAAACTGAAGCGGATATCCCATCATTACGAAATTAATTCTGTCATTCCGACTTTCTTAGATTCAAGATCAAATTGGACTTAACTGAATAGGTGCTAATGAATGACATGTATACGTCATTTTCGGTAATTTAGCCCCCTTTTCAAAACCAATTACGATCTAGATCTTGTAAAATGAACACTTCCGAATTCATTAGTTTCAGAAGATTTACAAGTACACACGTACAAGGACATATAAATTGCTCGTAATCAAATGAACAATGTTCGAAAATCATTTGTGATCGGTAATTTTGCATGACATGACACAAAAATTTGCATTTTTTAGAATTTACAGACGTATAAATGTTTTACAGATTTCTGTCTGTCAAAAACACTCTCAAAAAAGCACAAACGTCTTATTATATTGTCAGTTTTTTATATCAATTTTCATAGTTATTGCATCCCTTTTGTCAAAACTGTGGGCAAAATGTTCTTTTTCATAGTTAATGTAAGCCTTTAGGTCCGAAAAGTCATGGGGTTGTGCGGTTCAAATAACCATGGGTTTTTGTTTCTTTTTTAAAATGATTTTGTATGCCAATACAAAGGACGAAGCGTCTTCAGTTAGATAGGAAAGATGGTCAATAAACTGTTGGGAGATGCATAAACCATGATAATTTTCTCACTCTAATAATAACATATTTTATATATAACCCTTATCCCTCTGAATGTTTTAAATGGACTTGTCCATCTTTTACACTGGACAAGACCATTCATTGTTTTAGGGGAAATTCAAATAACAAATGTACTTGAATAGTAAACAATGCAGACCATGATCAGACGATACAGAGGTCGTCTGCATTGATCGCATGGATAATTATGTAGTCGCAAGGCGCATGCGAATTATAAATAACTTCATTAAAGACGCATGCGCACTTAAAAGTTACTTCTTATATGACGCATGCGCATTAAAAAATAACTTCTTATAAGACGCGTGCGCATTTCAAGAGAAACAAGCAAAAATCTAGGATTATCTTAGAACGCTGGTGATCATGTAATAGAACTTGATACATGTATGTCAAATATGCAGACGACATGTTACTTTTTCACAAAATTAATGATAACACAGACAAAAAACAATAGATCTAGACCATATACGTCAAATATATCGAAAATCGGAGACTAAGAACAACTTTGATATATCGAAGTTTACATGCAGACAAACTGAGGTCTATGTATAACGTCATTTTTTGACAAGAAATATCGTGTATAAATCCTGGGACATAAGATAAGATTATCTTATGTCCCAGATAAATCGAAGCCATGTCAGTACTAAAAGTGGATAGGATATCAAATTTGTTTAAGATCGGGGGGAATGTGGTGTGTAATCAGCATGTAATTGTAAAGATAATGAGTTAGTGTATCACATGACACGTAAGGATAATCGTGTCTGACGTATCGCGTGACTTACAAAACGTAAATAACGTTCCATGTCTCCTAGAAAATACTTCTAATTTGTAAGCATTATCTTAAAATATTATTTAGATATCAGGCGAGGGAAACTGATGCGCAGATAGTCGTTATCTAGACAACAAAACAAACAGTACATTAGACATTGTTTTGTCATTATTTTCTTGATTGTTTTTATTTATTTATTAAATTATTATTTATTAAACGCGGACTTTAACACACTTTTGGTCATACCACGGCGGCCAGAGCACCGGGATAAGTAACAAGGAACCAATTTCTCCACTAGTGACTGAAAGTAATTCCTAAATGTTGTTTAAACAAGTTGTGGCCCCATACAGTAAATATTATTTTTTATTTATTTCTTTATCATTCTTAGGGAGTGGGAGATATTGAATATTGATAAAGGAGCTTGTTACTAAGATATTTCCATGTCACTTTTTTCAAAATTGAGCGTAAATCTAATAATAACGAAAACAACTTAAGAGTTATCGTTCCTTTTATTGATAAAGAAGGGATGACATAAAGAACGGCAACTCTGTACGTTAGGTTAATAACCCCCTTCTTCATGTTTAAAAAAGTTTTTTGTCAAAAAAAGGAGAGAATGTCATTATCTTACAATTCCTAAGGAATCGACAAAAATCGACTAGTTTCGTATAATATCGCGAGAAACCAGACAGCGTTCGTCTTATTTCGGCAGTTTTTGTCACAGGGACCAGGCACAGTGATGGGATAGTGTAAAAAAAGTAATTTAAAAAAATATATATATATTGTATATATAATATATAGACAAGGGTTGAACTCGCCAACTCGCCAAATCGGCCGAATGCCCCTAGTCTAGTAAAAGTCAAAATTGCAAAGTCATTCTTGCGTAAATTATGTAAAGCTATATATAAAATTGCAGCTAAATGACATCACTAGACGTTGATAATAACATTACTGTCCCCACTTAAACCGTTTTTGAACAACAAACCGATATTTCGGATGAAACATCGTATTTTTGCTAGGTCGGACACAACCGTGCAACCTGACAACACTCGATTTTCTACGTGTAAAAACGCAATTCTAGACCATGTCATTAAACCAACCCGCAATAAATCGATAAAACAAAACAAAATAAACAACTTACCGCTGGAAATTGTTCCAAAACCAATCAACTATAGCAAACATTCATTTCTTTTTATTTCTATTCCGTCCAAATATTTTTTTGAAGCCATGATACATTCTCGGCAACGGTTGTAAGACATCGTTTGATTGGACGATTCTGTGACCCAGCAATGCTTTGTATTTTAATCAACCAATGAAATAATCCGTTTCAAATTGGTCACGTGATAGCCAATGGATGCTGATTACAACTTTCATTTTCACATTCAGGAATTAATTGTTTACAGACGCTATAAAACATTTTAAAAATCAATTTCCGGCGGTAAGTTGTTTCTTTTGTTTTGTATTATCGATTTATTGTGGGTTGATATAATGTCATGGTTTGGAATTGCGTTTTTACACGTAGAAAATCGAGTGGGGACAGGTTGCACGGTTGTGTCCGACCTAGCAAAAATACGATGTGTCATCCGAAATATCGGTTTGTTGTTCAAAAACGATTTAAGTTGGGACAGTAATGTTATTGTCAACGTCTAGTGATGTCATTTAGCTGCAATTTGATATATGCAATTATGATATATGCAATAATGATTTACGCAAGAATGACTTTGCAATTTTGACTTATACTGGACTAGGGGCGTTCGGCCGATTTGGCGAGTTCAACCCCTTGTCTATATATTATATATAAAGTATAATTTTTTTTCTAGAATTACTTTTTTACACTATCCCAACACTGTGCCTGGTCCCTTTGGTTTTTGTGAAACCTATATTTTTTTTATTTGTGTCACGTGAGAGGGGGGGATGTCCGATGTGACGTCATTATTTGAGAAAATAACCAATATGGCGAATCGTTTTCTTGCTCATCTAGATGCGCTATGAATCATTTATTCTAGGACCCTTTACTATATAAGTTCTTAGACTAACAGGTGCTAGCTCTGTATGTATGAGCTTTCTTTTGGCATTTGGACTTCCGTTTCAACCAGTCGTAACAGCAAAATGGGATGAAATTGGATATTTTGAAACTATTTTGTTTATGGATTGTATGCTCGTTTTTCAAATTAATTTTTATTGAGACACATGATGAATAGTTCATTCTCATTACTTCGATTTTGTTGTGCGCGATTTATGTAAAATTGTCTTAGCTTTCCAACTATAATTAACATATTGGAATCTCTATGGCATTCAATATCGCTTACAGCTCAACTAGTAAAATTGATCAAGATTAAGTACCTGCATGAAAATCATAATAGATCATGAAAATCATTGATCTATCACATATTTTAACAACATTAATTTTCAAATCGTGTTGCCAGAAGATAATTAAAGGAAATTAAAGGGAAACTTTTTTCCGGGGAAAAAAACTATTATAAATAAAGACGGCATTGTCACATCCTTTTAATCGAAAAATAAAATAGATTATTGAGGGTTTGTTTCCCAAGTTAATCTTAGCAAAAGTACTATCATATCACATCAAACACCATAGAAAATTTAAAACGATTATTGCTCGTGGCTTTTCTAAAATAAAAGACCACAAAGTTAGTATAAACCACCTAAAATGCATGCACTATTATAAAGATTAATATCTTAATAATTACAGTTCAACCTCTACATAGCGGTCGCCCTGTAGAACAACAAACTTATTACGTCATCAATAATAATTTTTCCCAAAGAAAGTTTTAAATTACTTCTCTAGATCAGCTCTCTTCGGCTACGGCCAAAAATTGCTGTCACCTAAAGGCTTGGTTTTTCAACGGGTGTTCCTAAGCAGAGGTTGTACTATATGTACAGGTTTTATACGGCTTACCTGAATAATCTAGTCCAATTTTGGCCTTGAATTCACTCGTTTTTGGACTGATATCTGGAAGTTCAAACTTTATATAATCCTGTGTTATATTCTTTGCTTGATGCGTTTCTCTGAAAGAGCAATTATTTAAAAAGTGACCTTGAATTAGAGACATTTGGTTCCTAATATTTAAATATGATACAAAAAATAGTTCTATTCAACTATCTAATAATAATCATCTAAACTATATATTAATCAGAAAAAAGCAATCGCTTTTCATTGTTCATGGGTGAATCAATTAACAACCATTCGAATCGTTTCAAATAATAGGCAAATCAAAAGAAATATGATCGACAATAAGGAAACCTCTCGACCGGTCCGCTCAAGCGGACATTTCGTTTCCCTGTCTACTATTTTTGGAAACGAACGTTACAACTAGTTGGAGACGATGCACTTTTCCTAGATAATATAACGGAAATACTGAGATTGAAACAGCAAAGAATTGCTATTTCCAAGCAGAATATAAAAACTGAAGGCCGCTTTAATGATGCATATACAAGTATATGAGTTTTTGTCAAATTCATTTAATTTTTTAAATTGATTCACGTTCTATATCTAAATTTACCGACAAATGGTTATGTTGTTCTTGTATTTTGATTCGTCAAGAACAGCATATACATACTGAAGCAAATATGAATATAAATTTATATGATGCATTATATTATATACATGTATCTTATCAAATTAATTCAATACAATGTATGAAGTTCACTTCTCTGTAAATTTTGCTAGACAGTGGTAATTTAGGTAAATTTGAATGTCCTTTTGTTCTGATGTTCATTTTAATTAATGATATACAATTTTGTGTATACCTTCTCCATTTACACATGTTATGTATATGCTTTACACTGTCTTGTCAAGTATCATGTATCTGTTTATCCTCACGGACCATTTGGTCCAATGGAATATTGAAATAAACTTATCATGTATATGACAAAAGCAATAAAGTCACGTGACAATTAACTAAATTACCTCATTCCATAATGAATATCATTTGCTGCAATGTGACAAAACTTGCTCGATATATTAGTCTGACCGTAGGGATCATAGACGAGGATTAACTTCCTCCAGTTATAATACATGAGCACATCGGCGAAGAAGTTCACTAGCGTGTTAAAGTTCGAGCCTATACGTGTCATCATACTGTACATTTTGGCCTTGCCGATTCCAAAATCTCCGGCCAAACCACCTGCTGTAATCATTGGTATATTCCAGAACACGACCTGAAATGATATATGATTATATGTAATTATAATTATACGTGACATGATAAAAACTGTTCATCATGAAGAACTAATTTTAGGTTTTCGTTAGCTCATGATTTCCATTCAAAATAATTTGAATTTAAAATTATATTTTATTATAATTATTATTATAATTGTTATCATCAACATCATTTTATTATTATCCCCATCAGCATCACCATATCATCATCAACAACTGACCACTGAAAAAGAAAGTTCAAAAGTTTAGTCAGTAGAATAACAGAACAATATTCCTCGAGTTTAAGGGTTAAATTACTGTCAAACTGCACTTTTTTCACACCCTATGCCATCACCAACAATATCAAGTAACCAAATTTGATAAAGGACATATATAAGAGGAATTTACTCGAATCATGAATTTGCGACACAACCGATACGCGAATAATAGCGAGAAACTAAAACAACGCGAATATTACCGGATTTACAGTATTTATAAATTATATGGATAATCAAACAACATTTTTACATACTAAATTGATATAAAAAGATCTGTGTTTATAGTAGGACTAACCTAATAGAAGAACTCGTCAAGAATATTTCTTCACGTGCATAATTCATCTATCTACATACCGCCAAAATAAACTGTGCATGCCGATTTACATAAACGGATACGAAATCATGCTTTTAACGGATAAATCATGCGAGCACGTGCCATTGTTGCACGTTTCTTGTATGAGCGTGACTAAGAGCGCTATATACAAATATCTGGCTGAATTGACAGCTCCGGTAATTTCATTATCAAAACAACTGCCTAATGACATCCCAATCGCACGTGAAAAACCTGAAGGAACCGGTTTCATTTGACGAAAATGAAATAACGAAACGTTAAATTAACAAATGAGACGAATTTAGTTTTTTTTTTTTTTTTTTTTTTTTTTTGCAAGACTAACGAATGCACTTTTTCGAGTATTATTTAACGCCTGCAGAAGCTCTAGGTCCTCGTGCATCGGTAAATTTTAATACACGAAATAAGGAAATTAATACGAAAGACCGGTGAGGACATTTAAACTTCATAAATTCCCGTTTTCATCTTCGTCAATTCACAATTTTAACTTCGTAAATTCACGTTTTCAACATACGTATTTCGTAAAAAATGAAGTCTTGAATCCGTCAAGTTGAAATCTTGAATTAGTGAAGTTGAAGTTGTGAAAGATGAAATTTGGAATTTATGAAGTTGAAATGTTCCCACCGATCTTTCGTATATTTACCTTCATTTTTGCCTTAACATAATAAAATATTGTGAATATCGTTATTATACATAGACTAGTACAAGTTAGCTAAAGAGATAGTATATTAGAATAATATAGGATTCTTTTGTAAATGTGATAATATGAGTACATGTAATAAAAAGAACAAAAAACGGGTTTGTACGCTATCCAATATCAAAGACCTGTACATACCATAACAGAAAATTATGATGTAAATAATATCCTAACAGATAAAAAAACCATCTAACATTCTCTATATCATTAATATTTAAACATTATAAAAGTCATCTTTTGCCCCTTCTAAAAATGTAAAAATCTTATCTGTTTATAAGGCATATTGTGTCTTTAAAGAGTAAAAAAACCGTAGTACAGTCCTTAATACATCCCTTATACTGCCCTCACACATACCTCGCGACCTTACTGCGTCCTTACTGCGACCTTGCTACGACCCAGGACGCAGCACAGTCGCCATGGACGCAGCAGGGACGCAGCGAGGTCGTAGCGAGGAACCCAAGGACGCACAAGGTCGCAGACCGTCGGCGACTACTAGTATTTTGAACATGCACAAAACAGTCGCAGAAACTCTGCGTTCTTGCTGAGTCCTGGTTAGGTCGCAAGAACGTAGTAGGGTCGTCGTACAGTCGCAGGACAGTCGCCGGACAAACGCAATAGTCTTCGTAGAGTCGCCGAAAGGACGCAGAGAACATAGCACAGTCGCAGCTGGGTCGCCGATGATCGCCATGGGGTCGCCTTGGGGACGCAATACAGTCGCAGTGGAACGCCTTGGACGTAGAAGGGTTGTATTGAGGACATAGAGAAAACGTACTGAACACAAGACTGCAGAGCCCCGGACCGTCTGCGAGAGAAATTTTCTGCGAGAGAAATTTGGAAATTTGAAAGAAAACCAACGATTTTCGAAAGAAAAATGCTATTTTACTAGTTTTCAGGTCGCAGTAAGGTCGTGGTTTATAAATTTTAATCAAATAAAACACATCCAAGTTCACGGTGACTATTCCGTTTAACAGAAAATAGTAAGATTTTTTTTAAATGATATTTTCTATCTTTGATATCAAATTAAAACTTTTTATTCAGAGATAAAAAAAAACATTTGATTTCCTTTAACCATTTATTATTGCTTTAACAGATCGAGTTTGTCTTATTTTGAAACGACAATGGAAATTAAAACTGGAAATAATTTATTGAAAATATCATATAGTTCATTTACGTTACTATTTGCATCATGATATTTTGAATTTCTTACTATTTACCATCTTCATTTAACAATAAAAACGGTCACGTGACATAACACGAAACGGTCACGTTATATTTCACTAAACATGGGATTACCCGAGGGTTTTTGACATGACGGAACTAGAAATATTTTTGAAGATTTGTTTACCATTATAGTATTTGATTTAGGGTCTGGGACAAACTTGTGTGCAAATTTTCAATATCAATACCTCACCCCGTTTGGTCCAGAATAATCAATTTTATTTGTTCAAAATGACCCATTGATCCAAAAATGAAAGCGTTGAGAGATATTTTGAAATTAAAACAAAAACTTTCAAGAAAAAGAAACTCATTATAATTCTTTTATATAATCCAACGCCTTACATGAATAATCCATTCTCAGAAAAAATATATTCCTGAAAGATTCGCCTTAATTAAACCAACGAAATTAGCATTGCTGACACGTGATGTGTTTTTGTTGTTTTAAAATATAAAGAAATGGGAATTTCATTCATATGTACCAATAATAAAACTAAACTAAAAATAATAGATCTGAACTATTTACTTACTATGGTTGTTGATTTGTACAATGTCGTTTTTTTCGCTCTGCGAAACGCCAAGCTAAAACACGAAAATACGACAAAATAGTGACTTGGTCGTATTTTGGCGTCTAAGTATTGTCGCTCTGCGGAGCGAAAATACGACAAAATGTTGACAGTGTCATATTTTCATGTTTTCGTCTCGCGCCCCATGGAGCGAAACTACGACTTAGCACAAATCAGCCACCTTAAGAGCAACACAAACTGTTATTTATTATTAACTTACTTTTCTCACTCGAAATGGTCAAGTGGAATCTTATGATACGTATTGTTTTCATTTGATAAGAACGTATGCTTTAAAACATTTACGAGAACAGTTTACTGTGTAAACAAATTGCTCAAAGTCACTGAACTTCTCAACAAAGATATATCTCTTTTAACAAATTAAACTTGTCAGATTATTTCATTTTATCTGTTTCTATGCAATTCGACCTGGTTTCAGACGAAATACGGAACTTCATTCAAATCCATGTGTTTATATTACATTTATTTGCGACGTATTGTAATAAATTATTTTGCAACTCAAATTCGTTAACTCGTTGACAATAAATTGCGTTTAAAGAAAAATATTAAAAGGAACTCCGTTAAGGTCCAAAGGCCTGAAAACATAAAATTTGAATAACTTACATAGATCATCTGGGTCACTAACAACAGAAAAATTTGCAAAAGATAATTAAGAAATATACTCCGGATAAATTGAAAATTGATTTGTGTGCTATTCTTAGTCCGATTTGAGTGAAAAGCGTTGCAACGCTTTTTCCATTTTGGGTCATTTTTCACAATTAAAACATTTTTTTGGAAAAACGGAAAGAGAAAATGTCAATTTTGGATCATTTCTCACAATTAAAACATTTTTTTTTTGAAAAAAAACGGAAAAAGCAAACGATCTGATATTTTATACAAGTTTTAGGTTCAGACCTTCACCAAATGGAACATTAATCTTGAAAATTTATTTCTAGTCCAGTCGCGTCAAAAGGCCTCAGTGGAGAGCCTTTAATATTTCTAAAATCTTTAAATCATGCACTTATATTCGTGAGCTAACGGAATGATTGATGCCATTGCAACACCACAGATGCAGTGACATATGTGCTACGTTATTAAATGTTGATTAAGTCATTTCCCCAGTATTTGAATGAACACTTTATTGCGTTAATTACACATCATGATGCATGGATTGGTATCAATAAACCGAGCTTTTAAGTTCTAATTAGTGCTAATTTTGAGCTGACATGGCAGAATTCGATATAAAATAGCTGGATAACTTTATAAATTTCAATCAAGGAATCCTGTAGAAATATTTTATATCAAATGATCATTACTCTGTTTTAACTGATTGATTTAAGGGGTGTAGATGTATTAACACTTAATGTTGATCAAAGAAGAGCTAATAGAGTCGACAAAGACAAACAATTTATCAGTATTATTTAAATGTATTAATTGGTTTAGAAATATCACATGATAAAATGCAATCATTTGTTTGGTTAAGGGCATAATTTTTGCGTCTAGATAAAGTCCGGTAAAAGTCGTTATGTTCCTGATGTCACAATAAGGGTCCATTGACAAAAAAATCTGTTATTTGTGCATAAGATATCATTTATTTGACCAAGAAGTGAACAAAATTTAAACTTAACGAGAAAATTTAAGAATGTGTTGATAGTCGAACTTCTGCATATAATTAAATTATTCTGAATGTCATTTTGACATTTGCAGTAAGTAAAATCCAGAAAAATGCAGACACTGTGGGATTCCACTGAGTTTTCTTTTATCAAGACAGGACTTTGTTTTCTAATTTACATATCATTTGAATAACTTGTTTGCAAAATTTTAGTTCATTCGTTCAGTCTGCTTGTCCATGAAAAATGTTTTAATCATGAAAAATGACGCCAAACGTGTTTAAACGCTTTAAACGCAAATCGCTGTT